CATTTTTGTTCTATCGGGCCATATAACATTACTACAATTATGTAGTATCAAGAGAACAAAATGATTTGGGAAAACATGGTTTTGCATGGCACATTTACATGCAAAAAGAGAAGTAGCTACTAGTATAGTTGACGAATGAATCTAAAATTGATAAACTTGCTTGCTCTGCTTTCTGTTAGATATGGAAATAGAAGCTTCATTGATGAGCGACATCGACATAGATATGAGGTAAAGAGAGATTGAGATGCAAATAATTGTCTCCTAACATTATGTAGCTTTTTCTCTTATGACTAAAATTTTCTGTTATCAGGTGAATCCTAGTATGATTTCACGCCTGGAGGGTGCTGGCCTCTCTTTCACCGGCAAGGATGAAACTGGTCAGCGCATGGAGGTCTGTACTTTTCTCACCTATGATATTGTCTCCTATTAGCATAACATACTATTGTTATTGTTATTGTTATGATTATCATCATTATTATTTGGTGACAAAACACTGTCCTGCTTATGTTGCAGATTGTTGAGCTTCCCAACCATCCATACTATATTGGTGTCCAATTTCATCCTGAATTTAAATCAAGACCGCGAAAACCTTCTGCTCTGTTCTTAGGTAACTGTCTCTCTCTTTTTCTTTTTTCTTATTTATTCCTTGATTGAAGCTGAAGATTCATTTGCAAGTCTTAGTGGGACTCCCTCATTTGAGAAACTATATTGAGTGGCTGGGATAAGGATCAAACATTTCCGGCAATAGTCTGGGTTTGGCTCAGGCAAAGCTCAGCTCAGTTTGACTCGTAAATATGCAAATTTATTTTACATGTATATATCACATATATTCTAAAGATATTTGCATATATTATACGTATAATCAAAGTCTCAAGTCCATCTTAGCCCTCTAAAATCCTCTTTTGCTTAACCTGATTTGATTCAATAAGCCAATAGCTGGTAGTATTTGTTGATATTCTGACAGCTGTGAATAACTTTTGTTTGAAGTAAGATGGTGCTGTTCGTTTCAGGCCTAATAGCAGCAGCGTCTGGCGAATTAGAAGCTGTTCTACAAGGGTGCAGATGCCAAGAGAATGTCCCTCGTCCAATTAGCAATGGTACTAGGGAGAAAGTATATCGGAATGGCAATGTGAAGAAGCACGCAAGTATCAGATGTGACGGTGTATACAGCTATTGCAACGGAGTGTACTCTTGAAGGTTTTTGTTCTTCTTATCTTGTACTAACATGGATTTTGGCAAAGGAGTTTTGTTGACTGTATTAGAGGGATTGGAGGTTTGTATAGGCATTTGATTGCGGGTATATGTTACAGCTTTGGAGGAAAAATAGGTGATCCCAATATTTTAAAATGGGAAGCCTGTAATATTTTGGTACCTGTACAATGCCCTTCTGTTGCCCTTGCGTTTTTCACTTGGTGCTGTTAGGAGAAACAGTTGAGGTTGGCTGTAAATTTTTCAGTTTCTTTATGGTTTCCTGCTTAAGGTTAGGGCTTGTTTGTTTTTGTTTTTGTTTTTTTCTTCTGATTGTTAATCTTGTGTTATTTCATCAACAAAATGCTGTACGACTATTTTATGTGAGGGACTTTGTCCAAGCAGTATAGCTGGAAGACTGATTCACTTTACCTGACCGAGGTGTGAATTTTTAATTTACCCAACTTCTATGTTCTTTTAAATGTGTTTATTTTCATTTCTTTGTGTTAGCATATATATCATACCTAAGGATCATCTTCTCAAAATTTTCAATTGCAGTAGTAGCATATATGTAGTCCTGAAGGTAACACTTCTGCATAGGAATTTAGAAAATGAATAATCAGATGATCCTTACTTAAAACAATCATCCCTGTTTCTTGTGCAGAAAGAATTTATCATTTCTTATGTTGGCTCGAATGTCTAGGACAACCCGGGGGGAAGAGAGGGGGGTGAATTGGGTTATTAACTTTTCAAAAATTTTGAATAGATTTTCTAACTCTTTTTTACACAATTTTTAAACTATGGTAGACAAGTTACTTGAAATTTATATATCTTCAATATTCAATTTACATTGAAATGAACAAGATCTTGTGAAGCTTATTTATGTTAATTAAGTACACATGGATGGTGATAAACATCAGTGAGTATGGTGGAGAGAGTTTATGCGATCAATGCAGTGTGGGTCTATGTAATATTGTGTAAAAATAGATAAAAATGTAAAGTAAAGAGGAGAAAGTATAAACTTTTTTCTTATAGAGGTTAAGTTACACTACTGTGCTTATGTTCTCTTTCTCACGTCAACAATTTGAGTTTTCATTACTTTTTTTGAATTATTATAACAAACTAATTGGTTATGGTGTTTAGCTCACTAGTCACTTTGTATTACCTCAAATACTACTATTTACCTATTAAGATGTCAAACTTACATATCACTCATGTTCTACTAAATACTACAGTTTATCTACTAAGGTGTCAAATTCACCTATTATTTGTGTTCTACTGGATACTGAAGCTTGTTGATTAACGTGTTAAGTTTATCTATCACTCTTATTCCAATTAATATTAGAACTTGTCTATCAAGGTGTCAATCTCACATATCTCATATGTCCTCTTGACACAGTTTATAAAAAATTTCTACAAACTTTTCTTACAATTCAAAAAATAAGAATAAAAACTTTATAACTTTTACTCATCAAGAGAAGACATGCAAGTGAATGATGCAATTAGGGGTTTGACGAAGACTTAAAAGAAAGAAAAATATTTTCCTTAATGAAATACACATTTATGCTTGATGTTCTTTATTTTTCTGAATTTAGCTGGAGATAGTATTATAAGTAAGAATATTAAAACATTCGTTAGAGAGAATTTTCAAATTAGTTTGATCTCCAAAAAGATGCTGCAGAATTTTACCTAAATGTGTCGGAAATTATGTTTAATATATTTTGTATAATTGATAAGTTAACTTTAAAAACTCAATTAACTCTGAAAAATTTGTTTGGACTGAATATTATTTTATGCCATCAATATATTATTTTATGTGATATATCTAAATTATATTTTCTATACTTTTAATTTTTAAAATGATATTTTGATTCAAAAACAGTATGATTCGTATTAAGATATAATATAAATACATAATCGATCACATGTAACATTAAAAACGTAACTTTTTATATGTTTTGAGTTGTATTCTACTGAACTTGAGGTTACATCAGCTTGTCAGGGCGATATCCTTTATGCGTATGGAGATGATTTTTTGGATCACATTTATTATCACACACATATATAAAATCATAAATTTTTTTTCTTTTAAATTCATCTAATCGTATAAATTTTATTTCAAAAATGATCTTAAAAATCATATTTCTCAAATCCAATCTCTTCAAAAATGTTGATAATTTATCTTTTAAAACATTTGCATTTTAAAGAGAACTTTTATGGAAGAGATTTTCAAAGAAAAACTTTTTGAGTCTTAAACTATGTGATCTTTAATTTTAAAATGAAGATAAACAATCTTAAATAATTTACACTTTGTTCTTTAATGTTTGTCTTCTCCTTAGTGCTTTTTTTTTTTTTGTGGTTTGCTCATCTTTATTTAATCAAGTCTTTCATACTAACTCAACAACTCAAAAGGTATCATTACTTGAAAATAAGTTTGTGATATTGATCAAAATAAAAAAGTTATTATATTTTCTTCAACATTTAGACGTCTTGCACTTACTTTTTATGTATCTTTATCCACATCTCGAAGAGTCTCCCATGACATCTTTGCTATGTGGTTGTGCAACTAGTGATATGTGGAAAAATTAATAAAACCATAAATCACACATACTGTGCCCAATAGGGAAATAAGTGGTACCTTCTCTAGAAGGTGTGCACTTGTATTTTACAAGATCTATCTATAATCAATCACTTTTAAAGGACTAACCATGTTATTTCTTTCTAGTGCTAAATAGTCATGCAATTTGTGCTCTTGGAAAAAATAACAATACTCATAAGGCACAAGCACTTTGCCTTATCAAGAAACAAGGATACCAACTTTGAACAATTCATGCTTACATTTTGCAAGGTCCTTTAAAACTCCACCTATTTTTGGGAATACTCACCATGTTATCCTACAGTTTATGCAGAGCAGAAAGATTCTCTTTTTGTGGGAAATCGAGTTGTGTCTACCTATTAGTAACATTATGCCTCTTTGGGATGGAAGTGTTACAATTAAAAATAACATGTATTTGTGTTCTACACACTACTTCTAAACTCTACACGACTTCCAAATGGCCCTAGATCATTCTTGAACTATAGCATTATGCTAAAAAAATATACGGAATGAAGTGGTACCCACTAACCAAGCATTGTGTCACCCATGGTTAATAAACTAGTTCCTAAATAATTGACTAAGAAAATAAATTATCACACTTATCATTGTATTAAAAATATAATTCTGAAGATCGCTAAAATTATAGTAATAGACAATTTCCAAATATTTTCTTATAACAATCCAAAATAAGATTATAAATCAACTAATAGGATTATTCTTCTATCTAACAAATAATAATAATAATGATAATAATAATGATAAGAATATCATTCTCATTATTTTATGAGAGTCTATATATGGTATAATTAATTATCCTTGACCCATGTTTTTTCTCTTCAATGATGTGCGTTATGAGTAATGTACAACATGTAGTTGGAAGGATTCACCTGTGTGCCTACCTTTCTTCTTAAAACTCTAATTCAATTTTTTGATTTACTTATATTAAAAAAATTATATTGATCTCGATGAATAACAATCATTGATTCTTTTAACAAATATTTCAAAAGTTTTTGAAGTGTGTAGTATAGTGATCTTTTGAAAGAGTAACAAAGAACATAAAAATTTCAAATAAATAATAAAATAAAAGAAAGAAGGTATGAATACTCAAGTACGATAAAAAAGATAGCTTACATATGTAAAGGTGATTCATGATTTAAAGGCTCAAGAATTTCCGTTTTGATTATTTTTGGATATTTTTAAATTACTTTTTAATCCATTTTTTTAAAAAAGTACTTTCAAATAAAAGGTTTTCTAAATGTGAGGATGGAAGAAAGTTTAGGCTTAAAACTAGTTTTTTTTTTTTTATTTATAAAAATAAAGTTAGTAGCTCATGTTTTGAAATATGTGATAAAGCATGTGATGAAGTATTGGAAGATCATATTGACTACGACCTAATCCATGTAGACACGGAGTTTTATGCAATATGCACACATTTAATACACACAATGTTTATTTTTTTTTTGTCTTAATCAAATATTTTAATTAGAAATATAAAAGATTTCACTATCATATTTAAAACATCGTTTAAGTGAAAATTTAAAATTTTTAAGCTAAAGAGTTCTCTTATTTTTCGTGAGCCTTGATTTTTTGAATCATCTAATGATTCAACTTGTAATCCACTCTTCAATAGTAAAAATCTTGTAATTATTTTACCTTTCTATATATTCGTCAATAGAGAACATTATTAATGTTTTTATTTACTTTTTTTAGACATTGTAAGAAAGAATAAAAAAATTCTAAAGAGAGTTTTGCATTTGTAAAAATGAATTCATTTGTAAAGTGAATTCTTATGTAAGCTGAATAATATTCAACCTAATATTCAGTCCAAAAATTTTTAAATTTAAAATTTTAGTCCATTTGAGTTCAAATTTAATTCATTTAAAAATTGATTAATATTTTTAATATTAAAAATTAAAATATATATAAATTATATAGATTATAAAATATTAAATACACAAAACATATATATTTACATATATCCTTTTTTAACATTAAAAACTAAAATATTAATATATAAACCATATATTTAAAAAATTATATTTTATGAATCACTTTTGGTTCGCAAAGTGAACAAAAAAATATTCCATCCAATTTGGTTCGGACTGATGTTATACCGGTTCAATTTTTAGTCAAAGATTTTTATTATTTGGACCGATCTAAACCGGTGTTAATCCGGGCCGATGCTCAGCCGGACAACCAAACATGGCCCAACATGAAATTATACATAGTAAAATTCGTAGCCTGTGAAACATTCATCAAACTATAATCAGGCCACTGCAATCTCCTGCTCGTGTTTGCGCCAGGGCCGTAGTTCTTAAACTCAGCAAAGCGTATCCAGATTCGCCATCCCGTTCCTTTCCAGCAACTCAGCAGACGTTTCAACATTGGTTTACGCGGGTAAAGGTTGCAGCTCCGGAAGATTACGGCAGCATTGCTAAAGCTGGAATCTATAGTGCTCTATATGTCGCATTCTCTGTAGAATTGGCGGAGAGAGTGAACGCAGAGATTATCTTGGTGGCCTTTGAAGCTGCAGTGGTAGAAAGAGGAGACATCTGCGTTGTTCCTCAATGCTACTGTTTGATGCTTTTCAGGACTAAATCCACGCTCATAAATCGCTCTCCAGACCCAGTAAAGGTCGAAAAGCAGCACTGCAAAACCAGAGCAGCAGCAATTGGGGGAAACTAAAATCATTGATGTTCCGCCTTCTCGAGTTATAAATGTGGATGGTGGCTGCTTGTATCCTGGTGATTTCCTTTTCGACTGTGTTTTTTCTAGGTTCAACGTTCCTTGTTTCCAGCTCATGTACATAATTTGAACTTAAATTTATTAAGGTAGATATTGCATTGGCTTATCTTTGTCTTTGCTTCTCGCATGGGATGATAGCCCACACTTAATCTTGGTATCTTCAAGTTTTTTTTTTTTTTTTTTTTTTTATAATTTATCATTTCATCAACAAAAAGTCTTGTACTTGATCGGAATGGGATTAATTCGGCGTATTTGTTTAATTAAGTTTTTTGCTTTATGGGGTTCTTGAGAACTTTGTTTGGGTAACGATGAGTTCTTTGCGTTTGAGTTCTGCAAAATGAATTTTTCCCTTCTAGCCACGTTTAACAAGCTTCAATCTTTTTAGTTTGTATGCTTTCTTTCACGTCGGTGTGTCATTTCAACGTACGAGTATATTATAGTTAAAGATGAGTGCAGATTTTCTTTCTTACATATCCTAAATGACATCTGCCGGCATTTTAATTTTCTTAGGCTAAAAAAGAAAAAATAAAACGTTTTTGTTTGTATACCTGGCATCCAGATATCTTTTCTCCACTGCAGTTGACATTTCTGGACGCCCATAAAGAAAGGAGGGGAAGCTCTGGGAGAGGGATCAAAAGCAGTTCAATAGAAGATTCAAATAGCTGATCGCAAAATAAATCTAATAAAAAATAAATAACGTCCTTATGTCTTGGTGCCAGGATGTTGATGAAACTAGGGTTCTCATTGCTCCAGGTGTGTTGTGATACACTCTATCTTACTTATCTACTTGTTTTTGCTGCAACTATATTTCTTCAATCCAACTTTTGCTTTTTACATCACAGATCCAGGGGTAATTGGAAGTAATCTTGGACGTTTTCTGTTGCTTCGACATCCCAAATCAGGTATTTAATTTGGGATTTCTAACACAAGTGCTACATATGATTGGTTGCCACAATATTCTAATCTGAGTTTTGCACTATCTCTTGTTTAGTATTTTAATACAATTTTTTATACTCAAAGTTTATTGTTCGATATGGTCTAGTTATGTAATAAATGTTTTCATTTGTTTAACAGGGAATGCAACTCGTTATCTCTTTGTTAATGGGGTGCTTCAAGAACTTCACTGGTTTAAGGAATCTTATCGGTCTTGGTTTTTAGGCGATTATATTTGTGAAGGTAGATGTTGATTACATGGTTGTTTACTGTTAACTATGTCTGTGTATCAATGTCCAACATTGTTTGGTGTCATGAGATATATTTACTTTGGATATAGTCGTGAGTATGCATTTGTAGTCACATATACAACTGGTACTCAATTTCTGACTTAATTAGCTATGGTTATTAGTAGGTTACGCAATTTCTGTTAGTTATTTTCCGTTTGTTATTTTTTTGTTTTGATTTGTATCTTGTATATGTTAGAATATTCCTAAGGCTAGCTGGTGTCAAGCTATATTGTAGCGTTGTCCTTTTCGTACATGTGATTAATACTAACAGTAGGTTGTTATGCAGCAGTATGCTAATGAGAATTATCCAGAATCCTAAATTTTTCTCTTTACTGTCTCCTCTGCTCGTCCCTCTCTTCTGCAATTCTCTAAATTCTTCACTTTTCTCCCTCATTACTTCTTCTATTCTACTCTCTCAGTCTCCAAACCAACCATAGTAAACCCTAATGTGTTAGACTCCTGATTTCATCCCCTCTTGGAGCCATTGTTAAATACTTTTACTTCTCTAAAAAGAAAAAAGATTGAAACTGTAGCTATTTTACACATGTTAGTTACATATTTCAAATCCTTTATCCTTATCATTGATATTCAATGTTGTGATTATATGTTTTCATAATCTTTTCAATAACTAATTTCCTGTATCAAGCAGTCAAGTTGACTGGATTTGTATTTCTTCTCCTTTTTCCTATGAGCAGATGGCCGCTTATATATGGCTACTCCCATTGATCCTATTTTTGTTATGTTGCCTATCTTCGAAGAAGCAAGAATGAAGGTGAAATCTTTGATGTTTAATTCCCTGCACAAGGACTAATAACAAAATTCTCAATAATGTTTCTTATTGCAATTTCAATTAATTTTAACTTTCATCTTTTTCTTAAATCTTACGGTAGAAAAATGTAATTAAATTTTCATTTATATTTTGCTTCAATCTTTGTTTCAAAAAAAGGAAAATGACTGGTATTCATATGTGTATATACATATATATCTCAAACTTATACATTTCCTTTTCCTGTTAAATCTGGAATTATTGTGTTTTCTTCTTGTTGAGGATGTAAATTTGAAATTGATGCAGAAAGTGGAAGATCCTGGGAAGTTCAGGCAATTAGATGAGATAATCTTTGTTCCTGGCTATCCTGGATATCAAGATTTATTATCTCTTGTGGAGAACTTCATGCACATTGTCTGTGAAGTTAGAGGTCATCTACAACCTATTTTCATATGCAAAAACGTGATTACAAAGATGCTAAGATATGTTATTTAGCTCGCATTATGTTCTGAGCTATGGTCTTTTCTAATATCATACAATCTTAATATGCCAGTTTTCTTGTTATATAAAAGGTAATAATCTGTGGTCCATACGGTATCTATTTGTACTTGCAGCATTCAGCTAGGAGATTTTGATAATTCTCCGAGTCATTTTTGTCTTGTAAACAAAATATCTTGATAATGTTGAGGATGGATATATTCTTTTGACTTTACAATTTGATAATGCATACTGATTCTGTCAACCGCATTTAGGTGTTTTACACCATAGAAAAAAAAAGAAAAAAAAACTATATGTATGTGTGGTGGTAAAATCTTCTCCAATATTTATAGTCCGATGCAAGACTGAGGATAGGCAATGCACGCCGGATTGATAAGTTGATGCATACGGAAACTAGAGACATGCTATTGACACAAACTTTTAGAGAGAGGATGTTGGAATTTTTGTATTGTGTAACCATCATATGAAATAAGAAGAAATTTTCAGAGAATAATATATCGAAATGTTTTCTTTCTTTGAAGATAAAATTTTTGTATGCTGTATCGATCATTTGAAACCAGAAAAGTTGGGCACTAAATGTTATAGTTGCTTAACACTGTCTGTGTTTTCCATCCTTCAATATTTTTTCTCTTTGCAGAAATTGGATCAACAAAGTTCTACAGGCTTGATGACTCAAAGGTTTTAGCTTGGCTGTACTATAAGGTTTGCTTTCTCTGATTAATATTATTTTCCTTTTTCTAGTTCATGAAGTTTGAATGCCATTCTGTTTCTTAATTTTGTATCCGTGTTCACTTTGTGACATAATCTGTATTTCCATACTGCATTCTCATCTGTTAATTGCATGTGCCTCATTCTTTTCTTGTATATTTCTGTGGAGATGCCTTTATAATGTTATTTCCTTGTAAGATACAAATCTTTAATGTCTCTCATCTTTTGAGTATGGACTGCAGGTATGCCAATTAAAACAGACTCTACCAGCACTGGATCGGAACTATGCTGCTCAGGATGAGAAGGACACATGTAATGTATTCTTGAGAAATGACCATAGCCTTTTGATTTCAAGCATACATGGTTACACAGATATACAAGTAGAAGATAGTGTTTGCTTCCATATGCATGTGTAAATGATCATATCTATCATGTATATGGAGTATTCTTAGTAAGAAGAAAAGTAAAATGATCATATTTTCTTATGCCCCATGAAATCTCTCCTGTGGTTCAAAAATCTATATAAAGCATTGTGCTTTTTATTCTTATACTGTTCTGTTTGTACAGTGGCAGATGCAATATCAATAGTAGGGGAGTACTTGAGAGCTGAGCCTTGGTTGAAGCTTTTATGTGATCATTTGAAGTATTGTCCTGAAACTCGTTCCTGATTAGATGAAAGATGATTTCTTTCTTGATATTTGAAATTAGGAATGCTGGTCAAACTTATTCTGTAAGCATAGTAATAACATAGTGAAGGTATTGGTGCAGGTTAGATTCTGCAGAGGTTGCTAGGAGAGCATCTCATTCGGAAGTTATTGCAGCTAGCAGGGAGAGTAACATGGAGTTACCGAATCATGTTAAGGTATACATTAGTTCTTTGGGGTGTAAGGATTCCTGATGCTTGTAATTCATTATGTTTGATATTTTCTGCTTGTTTATCAGGAAAAGAGCAATGATAGAAGGATCACAAGAAGTGTAAAGCAGAGTAAAAAGGCAAAAGTGGAGACAGAATCACGGAACATAAAAGAAATGTTCTTCAGAGCTTCAAAAAGAGCAGGCTGAACCGAACCATCTTTCTTAAAATGTTGAATTTGATTTGTTAAATTTTGTGCTCTGCCTTGGTGGTTGTTAAAAGCCATAGTATCAAAGTTTGTGAAGATTGTTATATATTCATGGACCATAAATGATTTAAAGCACTCTGATTGTGAATGATTCTTCTTTTATTTTGTTTACTGAAAAACAAAAGCTGATCTCACATGGTAAAGAAGCTTATTTGGCCCAATCATAAATGGGGCGTAATGCACTCAGAGCACACAAAAACCTCTCCAAATTTTGTTATTATGTTTGATATTATTATGTTTTTTATTTATTATTATATTTTTAATATTTAGGTTTTCTCAAATGGAAGAAAAGAGAATGAAAAAAGTAAAAAAGACTTATTCATAAATTGTTCATTGTACCTTGCTATTTTACTAATATAAAACTATATTGAAAACATTTTTTATGATAATTTTTTTTTTCTTTGCAAGTGAAAAAAAGAAAGTGACCCCAAAAAATTAAAGGATTGCAGTGATCTTTATGGTGGCTTATCTTGTGTATTTAATGAAGAACCCAACAAGGTGAAATTCAAATGAAGAGATGAATGCATTTGTTCATGGAAGGGGCTCACAAGGCCTCCATTGCTTCACAGATTCACTTAAACAACTTGGGACTGCAGCAGACCATGAGGCCAGATCTGGGAAACCTCCCGTCAGTGCAAGAAAATTTTGACCTTGACTTTCAGGCATTCTCTTCCAGCTTACCTGTCTCCACAAAATTGCCAACTATCAGCTTCCTTTCTTCTTAGGCATGCTACTGAAATTATCAAACCATGCATGATTTTTCACCAAAAACTAGTGCTCATTTATAATAAAGTGTCTATCTTCAAGGCCCAGCATTTTTTTGAAGGACAATAAAGTGAAAAGTTAAAATCATGGCCAGGAAATTGACAGTTCAAACTAGCAATTTTCCCAAAAGAGTGCTGCTGTCGGAAGAGTAAGATTAAGGAAAGCCATACTTGTAGAGGAAATGCTTGAGATAATGCCTTGACAGTAGAATTTTGTACCCAAGTGGCATCAGGTAATTTTAACCGAGGCTTTCCATCTATAGCATCAGATGCTCCATCAATATCACCACAATTCACCATAAGACGGCCGTTGGGCATTAATCTCTTGCTCAAGTCAAACCAAGTTGCTACCTGAAAATGATAAAGATCAACTATAAACTGCAGTTAAAGATGACACACTAAATGCTTTTTTTTTTTTTTTTTTTGTGTTTCTCTAATAAGAAAATGAAACCGATTGCATAACTTCTATTAATGAGCAAGGAGTTTTCTAAACGTTCAAATCCTTTTACAATAACCAGGAAGCTACCTACTAAGAAGAAGAGAAGATGGCACTTCCAATCTGCTGTTTGCTACATTTTCAAGGAATACCTCCTCTACCAACCACGAGCATGCAAATCCATTATCCTCTAGGGAAAATATTCTCATTTCGTTCCGTAATTTCATCCTACCATCTGATATGCTACTTCTTTATATAAATTAAATTTTCTAATCCTATAATAGATTATGTTTAAGGAAACAGAAATTTTTCTAAGGATTAAGAAATGGCCTATCCCCATATGCCCTTACCTCAAAGAAGTCAAAAAGTTCAGTCCATAAAAAGCATATCCATGTATAGAGCAACTGAAGGAACTTTAATGATAGTAAAAAACTAGTAAGACCTGGTTATGTGGACATCAATATCTAAAATTATCTTAAGTTTTACTGATATCAAATGATCACATATAGTACAGGAAGAGAGGAACATAATCAACGGTCCAATTCTAGATGCTTTATCATTTCAGCATAAAAACTCGGCCTCAAAATTTTCAACTTCGGTAAGAATGCACTTTCTACAATCGCTCTAACACTGGAAACCAACACAAGTAACAAAGTCTTAAAAGCCCAAGATATGCAGCAAAACATTCAAAATTGAAAAAGTGATCAAAGAATTCATGATGAGCAGCTAAGCACCTTGGGCACCAAGGATCAGTTAAAACATATGTACATACCTCTTGCAGTTCAGTCAAAACCTTGCCATTTGAAAACAAGTCAATGATAATCCCTGAATGTTATATGTTCGCACAAATTAGTAAAATGATAGGTAAGAAGTTCAACATGAACATGGATAGGTGAAATATTACGATATTTGAAAATACAGTGAATAATAGATGTCAAATAAAATGAAAAATAAGAACTCCATCCTGTCTCTGTAAAGTCACTGCAACCAACACATTCAGGATGGTAGCCAGTGGTAAGGGCTCCATTCTTTGCACAGAGAGGTGTGAGGTTTGAACATAGTCTGTGTTTCCTCCAAATGAGGAAAATGAAACATTTTGCTTGTATTTTGGTAGAACTATAGTAACAGACTCAGCCTAAGAGTAACAAAAATAATTCAAATTGGACATTATGCTGTTGTTAGGAACTACTATAGTCATGTCCAAGAAGGGCTTTTCCACCCTTTGAGGAATTAAAAAAAAGAAAAAAATACTATAACCAAAGATTAAAATGGTGCCTGTACTTAAAAAGCAAACAAATCAATTAGAAATAATACAAAAGATAGTTTTACTTCCTAACAAGGGGTGCCTGTTAAACGGAAAAAAAAAGGAGCTATTTTCCTTTATAAGGAAAGTGAAGATTCCGACTGTCAAAAGCATAGATACTTGCGAAGTGTTTCATCCAGCTAGCAGTGCAAAGTATGGGCATAATTCACTAGATGTAAATTTTGAGTTCAAGTGGGTACCTTAACAATTGGTATAGTGTTTTGGTTCGAAATTCAATTGAACCATTTATTAAGTTCAATAAGTTCAACATTTACAGTTTAGGATTAGAATTTTCTCATCTCTGAAACAAATTTCAATAACTACTATTAACATTTAGAATTTTAACCTTTAGAAGTTGCATAAGAGAATCTCCAAGGACTAATATTACTGCTTAGAATTTAAGTCTCCTAACAACTAATTTTTTTACAATTTCCAACTACTAGTTAATTCTCAAACAATTGCCAACAACCAGCATACATTTAGAATTTAATTACCCGAAAATTATCTTTTCCAAATTTCGAACAACTAATTAACTCCCAATTACAAGGTTAAAGTTAATATCCTGCTGCAATTCTCAAAAAAAAAGTTGACTCTTCATCTTCAACAGATCTTAAACTTTCTTTCTCCAGACTTCAGAGTACACTAAGACAACCTTATACCTTTATCTTGGCTCTACCCTCTTCAGCCGCCTTCTTGATCATCTTCTTCCCAGAAGCAGAAAATCTGACAAAATATACCTCTGCTCTTCTCTCATCAATGTCTACAACTTTCTTCGTCACCACAAATAATAACCTCTCATCTTTTCTTCCCCAAATGCAGCATCTTCTCCTCTGTTTCACAATTCCTACAGAGTTCAAGCAAGTTTCAAATCCAGAACCAGAGGCAACAAGCCTTCGTTCAATGCAGGTCTGTGATCGAAGTTCCTTCTCTCTCTCTCTCTCTCTCTGTATATATACACACACACACACGCAAACATATGCATATAGCTCTAGTTCTAGAACCAGAGGCAGCAAAGAGTCCTCTCTCAACTCTAAATCCCAAATCTCAAGTTCTTTTCTTCTCCAAATGCCTGGTTCTTTCACCTCAGTGATCGAACAAGATGAACCAACACAATTTCAAACCAAGATCAAGTTCAACGTAAGCAAAAAGTAGATCAAAGGTGGTTTAGTGAACCAAGTACTAGGATTAACATTCCTCCAATTTCTTATGTTCCAACTCATCCAAGATTGTTATTGGAGAGGGGGTTCAAAAGCAACCGAACCTAGGCACCTGATGCACCAAGTATCAAGAAATAACTTGACCGTTACTCCTTGATACTCCAACCACTTTGAATCGTCAGATCACTCATTAGTTTTTTTTTTTGAGACAAACAGACCACTCATTAGTTTTATCTTTATTGTTTGAGGACAAGTCAAATTATTCTTGATTTTCAGAAAAGACTAGTTATTTTCTTCTTCCTCAAATCAGTCATGTTCCTAGAATTCCAAGAACAGTCAAAAACTTTCTTTGATTGTCCTCTTAATCACCAAGAACTTTCTTTGTGCAGAGATTAGCATGACCACTAGGAGAACATATATCACTATAAAAGGAAAAATGTAGAACAGCTCCCCTCTCCCAGCAAGAGTGGAAGTCAGAACAAATGATTGTGCGTACGTGATAATCAGAAGAGGAGACTTTTTTTTTAAATAAATAATCAGCAAAGGAAACATGCACATATAAAAGATTTGAAGGGTATCTCACCAGCATATTTGGTAGAAACATCTTCCAAAGGAGAAAGAGCATCATCAATACGAACAAGAAGTCTACCTCCAGCCTGAGTGAGCCTCTCAAGATCTGATAGTCCTAGATATTCTCTTGCTTTGTCAATCAACTAGCACGCATTAAACATCTTGTAAGGATCCGGCCACCGGGAAATCCAAATGCAATAGGATACTCATTAATTTATATATGATTTCACAATGAAGAAATATTTTAGTACGGTTAACATTTTTAAGAATCATCACATATTTATGGTACTAAGAGGATCTTGTCATCACACCTCTGCATTGTTGGCAATCAGGAAGAGGATAATTTCCAATATTAGGACAATAAAGTTCAAAATATTTCTATTCTTTTCTTTTCCATTGACTAACCGAACATAGCATCAACAAGAGGAAGTTTGCATCTCAATGTTATGATGCTTTTCCTTTCATCCAGATAAGACCAAATATCCTCAGATATGGTATTCTCCAAAAAAACAAGTGTGTAGGTTACATTTTCATGGGATAAATTGGGGTTTGCAGAACATTCAATACCTCATTTAATAGGAGATTTATATGCCTTAGTGATGAAGAATCGTGTTAGAACAATGCAACCTGATTTATTCATTTAAAGGTCCCAAAGGCCTCCCTACCTACAGTTCTGACATCTTAATTTCCAAAGAACTATGCAAACTTTTCATGTTTGGCTTCCCTAATCTATGAATTCTCCAAAGTTTTATATATTTAGATGAAACTACGTGTAAATAGCAGTTTATGCCTGTATGATCAACAAGAGTCGAGACTACAAAATCTCACAAACATGAACTAAAGGGAAAAAAATAAATTTAAGACAATGGCTAGCATGAATAGAAATTCATTTGATTTCCAAAAGTTGTCACAGAAAGATATATAAATATTCCTCACAATTTCATCAATCTCCCAGCCTTCAAGCTGCAACGAGGGCCAGGATTCAAGTATTAGATGCGCTGCAGTTCCACCACCCTGAAAGATACAAAAAGATTGCCTTGACGTGTAAAGAAGGTAGGCACGTGAATCATGATGGCAAAATCAGGTACTTTACCAAGCCATAGATTGCAATTGGACCTTGTGGAACAATAGCTGGTAAACTCGCAAACTCATCCTGCAATATAAAAGTGGAAAAAAATCAAATAGACTAGATACAGCAGTTAGGTCGCCATCCATAGTCCAAACTGGAATGGAATTTGTCGTGATTAAAAGCAGAAACTCTGAAAAATGAGGTATAAAAAGTGCATAGGTTGCTTAAAACAGAAAACTGGAAATAATGGGAAAGTTTCCATGTGCTGAGAAGGGTAAGAAGGAACATCTATGGGACAATAATTTAAAAAAAGAAAAAAGAAAAAAAGAGAACTTGACAAATTGAAGGAGGAAAATGGAGATACCCAGTAGGATCCAGTCCATTTCTCACCACCCTTATTAACAACGCTGTGGACGTTGTCTGCATCAAGATGAAGTTCAGAAGCAAGTGCTGAATAATTACAATATAGATGGCAAGGATTTAATCGTGAAGATAAAAAGATAAACTGAGAAGAGAGAGCATACGAGTAGAGTCGAGGAGAAGAAACCTAGAAGTAGGTGTATCCACAATCATTATGTCATTATATTTGCTGCTTACGGCTATCAGTACCCGGAACTCCTCTTCTTCATCCTCCTCAGAATCCATTTTTGCATTTTCATTTCTAAGACATGAACAAATTGACTTAGATTTTAGATGAGATAACTTATTGACAAAGGGTTTTGGAAACAGTCCAAGGGATGAGAGGAAGATGAAGGCATTCTTTCTGCCTTGGTTTCGCCACTGATATGGATGCCATTTCACACCACCTGCTACTGCTAGCAAATTTCTTGGCGCCACCACCAGCAAAGCCATCTTCTAAATCCAAATACAGCCTTTAGATGGGCCTTCCCTTCTGTTGATTGTTTACATCTGTAAACATTAATAGGATAAAAAGAAGTTGAAGCCTTATCTTCGTCTTTACTCTCTTGTCTCCATTCCTCCATAGTCCATCCTCACCCCTGGTTTAGGGCCCGCTCCATCTTGAAGCCCAAAGTAAAACAAAAGCCTTTCTCGTCTCTCTCCGCCGCCCCATGTTAAAAGCACAAGCACTTTCCTTCTTGCCGATTTTGTGCGGAGGCGGAGTCTCAGAAGGGAAGAGCAGGTCTATTTTTCTTCCAATGATCATACAATATGTTTCTCTTCTGTATCTTACATTCTTTTCCTTTGGGTACACAAGTGTCTTCAATTCATAATCAACTTTTATTTTTTTTCCTTGAAAAATTCGTTTATTTTTTTCTTGAGAAAATATGCAATCAGTTAATGGGCATCTGCTATTTGGTTGCCAACACATAAATCCCATTGTGGGAGTAATGAAAACCTCTTAATCATCTTTAAATTACTGGCTTCTTTTCTTCTCCCCTGTACTTCATCACTTCATTTATACTGTTTAGTATAAGCTGCATCAGACTAGTTTTTTATATGTAGATTTATATCATTGTGCTTTTGACAGGCATGGAAGTAAAAGGAAACTTAAGCAGCTTTGTAGTTGGGTATCTCCCGACGTTGATGTATATTCCGGAGTTCATCACTGAAATCGAGCAAACCAACCTCCTAGCCAATGTGCCAATCCCCTTTTATCTTCCCTCCCTTTATTTTGCTATTATGCTTTTTTCTCCTTTTTGTGAAGAAGTATAATTTTCTACTACTTGCTTTAATCATGGGGTTTCGTGCTCATTTTACAGATTTATGGAGCACCTCCGTCCAAATGGAAATCTTTGAAAAACAGAAGACTGCAGAATTGGGGTATATTGGAACTCTTATGCCTCGTTTTCTTTCTCTGTCGATGTGAAAAATATTATTTGCTGTTGTATGGATGGTGAACTTGTTTTCTTTTATATGGATATTGACAGGTGGTGTAGTTCATGAAAAGGGTCTCCTTCCGCAGGACAGTAAGTGAGTGTATTACTGAATCATTGTTACATTGGCCAAAACAGTAAACTGAGATTCATTAGTTTTCCTGTTCTCTGGGTTTATATAAATGAAAATTACCAAATTACTACTTACTGTGCTTTTAGAGGGTGGAGATATAGCTATGTGAACTCTTTCAAGTTCAATTTCAATTCATAATCTGACAATTAGATACCATAGATTGATATGTACCTGGTAGAATGGGTTATAAGTGAACAAGCACTGATAGGGAAAATGGGATGTGGGTGGGAGTGGGTATAGTCCTATTTACTTGGGGAGTAAACTAGGTGCTTCCAAGGAAACAAAAAATATAACTCAATTATCAAATGTGAAACATAAAGATTCCAGGAACTTTTGAGGGCAAGGATGTGCAGATGAAAACAAATTCAATGGTGTAGAGAAGGGATTGATTTAGCTGATTTGGTCCCTTGGAGTAAGTTGAAGTCCTGTTCAGAAACGAGACTAGTGAAACTTGCCCAGTTTGGTTCACCCTGCCTTATAAGTCAGCATTCAACTTTTTTCACTCTTATAGATCATCTTATCTTGCTCAAAAGGTTGGAGTAACTAAGCACTAAAAGTTCAAGTCTGAAAACGCAGGATCCAATTGAGAGTGAACAGGCACCTGAGATTTATTTGAAAAGATGGAAAGAATGTAAAGCATGAAATAAGAATGGGCCCTTCTTGATGTAGAGTGGATTCAGTTTAGGATAAATAGATCAGAAATTATAATTCTTTTAAATTTAAAATTAAGGTATCACTTAGGAGTATATTGGTATTAGTAATAGTGTTGGTATTTTGTTTTGAAAAATTCTTATTCTAATTTTATTGAGGCAAAGTTGTTGGGAAGCACTTAAACTACCTATATAGTCTCACTTTTAAGACAGTCCAGTTATTTAATAAAAAATCCTTGAAAATTTTCTCAGTCTTGATTTCTAATACAATCAAACTTAACAGGGATACATAATAATTATTTGGTTCGGTAACTAAGAAACTTGAAGTGTGATTTCTTAAGTTTTATCCTAAATTCTAAAAAACTTGCAAATTAATTCCTAATTTATCTACCATCAATTTGTATTAGAGGCAGAAAAAAATGCTAACCCACATCTAAGTAGTCCCAAACCATATGGCTGAAAGAAAACCTATAGAGATTGTAAACCCTAAAGCAGACAAGGCAACTGCTTGTCAGATCAGCATGCACCAGCAAGGTGTGACTTACATAGGCCTCATCATTTGAATTAGGGACCTCTGACGACTCTCTGAAATTGAAAGAACTGCTGCTCACTAAATTGCCATACTCATATCATAAAACCGTGATTAAGCACACCCTGAGAACTCAATTCTGGGAGCAGATAGCAGGGATAATCTTTTATGTATCTTTTGTAAAAAGTCCAGATATACCAAAGACAAGTTTTCTAAATTACATGATAACCTCAGTACCTCCAGCAAAAAGTGGAGATACAAAAATAACTCACAGAAGATTTGTAAATAGGTTCATATGACTAACCAACGGGAAAAAGAAGCACCTGTCGATATTGTTGCTTTTAAGGCTGAGATTGAATGACTGCAAAATCAATTGGAGGATCTTGAAAAGCCTACTGGTATAAGTGTAATAAAGCACTCAAGTATCTTTCTTTTTTACATGGTTTGAATACCTTGAATAAAGCATTTGAAAATTGATGGGTAATAGATTCAGGAGCTATAGATCATATGATGATTACTCTTAAGTTTTTTTATACGTATCTTTCCTATCCAATTAACAAGAAGATTGCCACTACAAATGGTTCCCTATACCATTGCAAGCAATAAGAACATTAAGATTAGTCCTACTCTTTTCCTAAAAAATATGTTGCACATTCTCAAATTGTGCATTAATCTTGTGTCAATCAGTAATTTATTACAACACTTGAACTGTAAAGTAACTTTTAACTCTTCTTATTGTAACTTTTAGAACCAGAATTTTGGGAAAATGATTGGATATGCTGAAGTCAGACACAAACTCACTACTTGAATGCACTTGAAAGAGTTTTTTCTACTGTTACCACCAATCCCATCATTCTCTATTTTGAAGGTTATGTTTTTTTATTATCTAAAAATTCAATATGTGAAAATTTATACAGTAATATCTGTGAGTTTGCAAAACATAAACGTGTAACATTTTCTATTAGTAAGAAGAGAAGTTCAGTTCCATTTTCATTAATTTACAATGATATTTGAGAATCAACTAACACACGTAATATTTACGGGACTCGAGGATTTCTGTCATTTATTGACAATTGCGCTAAAGTCACTTATTGCGCTAAAGGCACTAAAGTCAATAATTCACAACGACATTTAGGAACCAATTTACACACTTAATATTTCTGGGGCTTGGTGAGTTGTGTTATTTATTGACGATTGCACTAAAGTCACCTGCATAGAGATCTAGAAGAAGAAATTTATATGGATATTCCACTAGACTTTGACAAAGAAACATGATCAAATAAAATGTGTAAATTAAAAAAGACATTGTATGAACTCAAACAATCACAAAGAGCATGGTTTGAAAAGTTTACAAGGGTGATAATAGATTTAGGATTAAGCAGGCTCAGGAAAATCACATCCCATAAATCAAACACTTAGAGACAAGGGGAGTTAGAGTTCTCTTAGATTACATTCATGACATTATTGTAAAAGGAAATGATAAGAAGGCACAACAGACACAAATAGTGTCTGATAAAAGAATTTGAAATACAAAAACTAGTAAGTTGAAGTATTTTCTTGAAATTAAAGTTGTCCACGTTAAATATCAGATTTTTATTTTTCAATAAAAATACATTCATGATCTGTTAAAAGACACTGGAAAGTTAGAACGCAAACCAACTAGCGATCCTATTGATCCTAATTATAAATTAGGAATAATAAAAGATAATATGTTAATAAACAAGGAAATATATTAAAGATTAATTAGGAGATTGATCTATCTATCATATATGAGACTAAACATCACCAATGCAGTAAGTGTTATAAGTCAATTCTCGTACAACCCGAAAGAAATATCCTACAACCAGCTTGTAAAGTACCACGATACCTAAAAAGGTCACCAAGTAAAGGAATTATGTTCAGGAAGAATGACAAATTGCTCGTACAAGTTTATATTAATGTTGATTATGCAAGATCAATTGTAAACAAAAGATCTACTACATGTTATTGTACCTTCCTTAAGGTTAATATGAATACCTGGAGAAGTAAAAAGTAAAATATAATTGTGAGATTGAGTGCAGAATCGAAATACCAGATAATGATATAGAGATATGTGAACTATTATGGATTAAAAAAAATTGAAGAACTTAGAATCAAATAAAAAAATCTCGTGTCTGTAATGTGGTTATAAGTCATTTATAAGCATCACTCAGAATCTAGTTCAACACAACCAAACCAAGCATGTTGAGATCATAAACATTTTATCGAAGAAAAACTTAACAACAGTCTAATATATACCAGATACATACCTATCAATTCTCAACTGACAGGTATGTTAATTAAAGACTTAAGCAATTGAGCATTTTAAACTCTTATTGGCAAGTTGATGATGAAAAGCATGTACTTTCCAGGTTGAGGGGGTGTATAAAAAAGAAGGTAAATTATGTTAAAGGGTATAAGGGTAAATTACACAATTTGTAGTTAATTGTAATTAATTATTTACTTCATTTTTTGTTCTAAAAAACTTGTATATATAGAGTTGTAATATTTAACAGAATACATATCAAACCATTCTTGACATATTGTTTAAGAGTATATTATAATTTTGGTTATATTAGTATGAGTATTTATGTTTCGGCAAATTCTTAGTAGACTAACCTATTTGAAAGAGTGTTAGAAAGCCACAAATAGTTTTATAATTTCGCTTTTGAGAGCAATCAAGTTTCTCAATAAGAAGTCTTTAATAATTCTCTCAATCTTATTGGTCGCATGATACAATCGAATCTTAACTATCATTCTCAAGAATTCTTAGATGTGATATCTAAGAAACCTTACGTGATACCTAGGGTATATCCCAAATTCTTTAGTAAAAAAATAGTTCTAATTTGTCATAATTATTTCTTCTTTTTTCTAGGAGTTCAAACGATCGAATCTACTGTCAGCAAATTCACTTGAGAGAATATGCAATTTTTAGGAATAGACTGTAGGTCTTAAAAGTGCAGATGCCAAAGAGCTAGCCACTATCGTCTTATATATAATGAGGACGTAAATAAAGTTGTTAGAATTTTGTTAGGTTTTTGTTAGAATTTGATTGTATTTTTCCTATAAATTGATATCTTATGGTGATGGAAATTATAAGCAGAAGTAGAATTCCTATTCTCTAAAACTTCATGGTATTAGAGCATACCTGATCCAAGAGAATCATCCCTACTGTGCCGAAGTCACAAATGGCCACAGGTGAGCTTCTGTCTTCTCCACTCGAGGGCTGATCGGGTTCCTATCATCACACACCCATCAACAACGGTGTGGGTAAAATGTCTTCGTCCTTTATCATAGGACACAAACTAAACGGCAGCAAATTACTTTCAAATGGTCGTTGTCTATTCTGCTGTTCATCCGAGGTAAGGGGCACGACGAGTATCTCATTAGCGAACTCATACCTCCTTTTACGACTGACCTGAATGCTCGTACATGGAAGATCGAAAACAGCATGGTCAATTCGTGGCTCATAACTTCAATGACTTCATAAATCGGAGAGAATTTCCTTCTCTATGAGACCGCGCATGAGATTTGGGAAGCAATTCAGAAATTCTACTCTAGCAAGGAGAATACCTCTGCCATTTTTGAGATAGAATTGACTCTTCATGATCTTCGGTAAGGTGAGTTAAGTATAACTCAATATTATAATGCTTTGACCCGCAGCTGGCAGCAATTTGATATCTTCGAAGAGCATCGATGGAGCTATCCCGAAGATGCGAAAATCTTCAAATCGATTGTTGAACAGAAGCGAGTCTTTGAATTT